ATGTACATAAGTGTGCTCTATTTGTATCCCGTTTGGCTATGTGTCCCTAAAACGGGTCGCACGGTTATTGCGTTGCACCAACTTGGGTACAGAGCATGGCATACAGGGGTTTTTCAGGCGGCTCACCCGATGAGGTGCGATGGTACACCTAGCCGAAGGCTAACTCAGCGTCAGTCACCTGCAAACGCCTCTGCCCCCTTCCTTTGCTCCTGATATGGCACACTGCCCAATTTGAAGAGGACGTAGTTATTGCGGTAGAGGTGGCCGAGCATTACATCACCCGAGCTACAAACCCCTCACCTCGCGCCATGAATTTGATCACACTTACCTCGATTTTATCCGCCCAACCTTACCACTCGTATGGAATCCAAAAATATGGAAAAGAAAGCTGACTACCCAAAGAGGACTTCCTAAGCAATAGTCTAGAATCCGCCAGAATGATTAATAGGTTGACTTAATTATTAGGAAGTTTGGCAAATTGAATTAATTTTAGTTGACCCAATTGTGAAAAAACTCGAGGCTTTCGGTGGGATTTGAACCCGAATTGTAGTAGCAACAACTTATATCTGAAATGAATTCATGGCAGACATAACCACCACTTAGGAGTAGGCTACAATTTCAGAATAGTATATTTGGCAAACAAATGTTTGTTGTCATTCTGGTGGATTCTAGATGATAGCTTAGGAAATCCTGCTTGGGCAGTCAGCTTGCTTTTCCGTATTGGTGGATTCCATACGAGCGGTTAGGTTATGCGGGCAAAATCGACCCAAATGTGATTAAATTCATGGCGCGAGGTAGGACGTTTGTAGCTCAAGTGGTTAGAGCGTTGGCTTCCAGTAAAGTCATTCTCTATTATGCGGGTTCAAATCCCGCCAAACGTCTCGAGTTTTCTCACAATTGGGCCAACTTAAGTTAAGCAAATCTTCCAAACTTCCTAATCATTATACCACCATAAATTATTTGATTTGAAAGTCATCGCACCTGAGATCTGGGACACATGACAGATATGATCGGAGGTGACGATCGACCTCTCTATGTTATCCTTCTCATCAAAATGGCAAACCACCACAAAGGATGCAAAGGTACTTTATCTTTGGAGGCATCTACTTATTTCAGGCATCGGCCTAGGAACAGCAAAATCCGCCCTCTTAAGTAGCATGTGCCATGAAATAGTGTGTAGCTGAGGCCAGTCTACAACAATATAGCAACAATTTATGTCTGAAATAAATTCATGG